CACATGTCCACAAATGGCCCTGGGGAGGGGGGGGACCCCCCCCCAAGAAGACCACACAGTCCAGGTTGCCCCGCGCCCAGGACACCAGCCGGCTCCCAACTGCACAGGCAAGGGGCTCCGAAGGGGGTCCCCCCCCCGGAGCCGCCCCCCTCACCCGCAGCAGGGAGTCTCCCGCCACCCCCGGGGCGCGGGGGGGGGGGTGGTGGCTCCAAGAACCGGCGACCGGGAGAGAGGCCCGGGGCGCGAGCCCGGCGTGGGCCACCACCACCACCCCCCGGGGGTTGGGGGTGGGAGCGAGGTGAGGTGAGATTGGGGTGCTTGCTGGTGGTGGTGGGGTAAGGTGGAGAGGATCGGAGTGCGGGCGGGCGAGCGGGCGGGCGGGCGGGCGCACAGACCTGGTGCAGGGCGGTGAGTCCGTCCACATTGGCGTAATTGATGTCGGCGCCGCGGTGCAGCAGCTTGAGCACCTCGTCCGTGTCGCCGCTGGAGCAGGCGGCCAGGAAGACGGCGCCATCGTCGAACTTCACCTTGGTCTTCTGCCGCTTCACCACCGGCGGCTCGAGGTCCGTCTCGGAGCCGATCCAGCGCTTCAGCTGCTCGTTCCGCTTCTGCTTCGCGTCCGCCATCTTCATCCCCCTCTCCTCGGGCCGCCGGCTCTTCTTATCGCGAGCGGGGGGGGGGGGGGGGAGGTAGGGAAGGGAAAAGGGGGCGGCGGCGGAGGGAGGACGAGGAGTGTGTGTGTGTGTGGGGGGGGAGTGTGTGCGAGCGTGTCTGAGAAGAGAGAGAGAGAGAGAGAGAGAGGAGCGAGCGGGCGAGCGGGCGGCCCGGAGCGCGGAGCGGAACTGCGAGCCGGGGAGGAGACGCTCGAGACACTTCCAGTATCCCACAGAGCACTGGGGCGAGCCCGGCAGAAGCGGACTCTCTCTCTCTCTCCGTCTCCTCTCTCGCTCGTTCGCTCCTTCGCTCTGGCTCTCGCTCTCTCTCTCTCTCTCTCTCTTCCTCCCACAGACGCCCTCCCGCCCCACCCCCCGCCCCGCGGCACGGCCGCCCGTCCGTCCGTCAAAGCCGCGGGCCCCGGCGGAGCGTAACTTCGCGAGATCGCGGCGCCGGGGAGGCGCCCCTGCGGCCCAGTGCGCCTGCGCGCGCGCGCCGCCTTTTCCCTCCTCCCTCCTTCCCTCCGCCCCCCCCCCCCCCCCCCCCCCGGGCCCGGCCCAGGAAGAGCGCGGCCGCCCTGAGTGCGGCGGCGGCGGCGGCGGCGGCGGCGGCGGCGGCGGGGGCGCTACCGGAGGGAAGCGGGTGTGGCTCTCTCGCTCGCTCGCTCGCTCGCTCGCTCAAGGGGGAGGTGGCTGGGACGATCCTGGAAAGGGAGGGAGGGAGGGAGGGAGGGGAGCCAGGGAGGCCGGGATGGAAAGGTTTGTCCTGCGGGACCCCGGGCTTTCAGCTACCTCCCGGGGCTCGCCCGGGCCGGGCCGGGCTGGGCTGCACGCGAGGCTTCCGCCCCGGGCGGAGGGTTTTTTTCCTATTGGCTGCGTCGATTTGAATGGAGTGGACACCACACACACACACACACACACACACACACACACACACACACACACACACACTCAGGGCGAGCCTTTAGGTGCTTGTGGGTGCTGCGTCGATTTGAATGGAGTGGACACCACACACACACACACACACACACACACTCAGGGCGAGCCTTTAGGTGCTTGTGGGTGCTCTTTCCAAGGCAGGAACTCGGGAGGTGGCGGGGGGAGAAACCCGGGCCGTGCAGTTCGGGATGGAGAGCGCTTTCAAACTGGGGGTGTGTGTGTGTGTGTGTGTGTGTGTGTGTGTGTGTGTGAAAGTCGTCCCTACCTACCTACGGCCCCCCTGGGTGGCAGGGACCGAGGCGATCGCCTACCGACAGGGGTTGACCTCCGGGTCATTGCGGTCGCTTCCTGCTAACACCCACAGCAGAAATGTCTTTCCTCTTAGACTTGCTTGTTATGGTTGTTCTGTTTTGTTTTTTTCTTCTGCCTCTTAAGCCTGCGTTGATTCCTCTTCCTTCATTGCTTTTCAGCCCTGTGTGTGGCACTGCCCAGGAGGTTAGCTCAGCCTTGTTAACTGGTCCTGACCTTTTAAGGGATTTATGGTTCCAAGCTCCATTGCTTTCTATGGAGTAAAGACCCGGCTGCGTCTAGAATTCAAAAGGAATGTGGATAAAGGCCGTTAATTCGACCAGTAATTATCGAATACTTGTCTAGTAAGTCGTGACTTCCTAGGCGCTGAAAATACAATAAATAGGATTTCTTTGAACCCGTTTCTTAAATTCACGTGCTGTAAAAGACATTAAGGGGTTTTAACTTTGCCTTTTCTGACCCCCCCCCCACTTTAGGTCTATCATAAGCCATAAAACACTATCATTGAATGTTTTGGGGTCCTCTAGTCTACAGTCTAAGATTCAGCCTGAGACTGAGATTCCCCGCCCCCCCAAAAAGAAAAGAGTTTCAATTCTGGATCAGGCTTGCAGGGGCTGCCCATCTCCGTGACCATCACCCCCCCCCCCCCCCCCCCCCCCCCCCCCCCGCAAGCCCCAGCCCAGTGCCGGGATACAACAGTGAAAACTTATTTTCATATTCTCAGCATGTTGCCTTTCTAGTCGACTACATTAGAATAATTGAGTAAAATCTCCTTAGGAAATCACCTTCCTTATAGAACTGAGTATTAGGAATTGTAATAGAATCGAAGATAGGATAAAAAATACTCCCTGTGAAACACAAAACGAGTGTGCCACACATGAAATACACTATTGTGTCTTCATAAAATGTACCAAGGATTGTAGCATCAGGCCTTTTCATAACAATGATAATAATGGTGTTGGGTAGTGAATTTTCTTAGCACTAAAATATAAAATCTCTATGTACAGAACATAGCCCTCAGAATAAAAGAAATTGGGGATAGCCTTGTCAGCTCCTCTGTCTACCAAGAAAAACAACTTTTCCTTGTTTTCTAAGAACATTCTGATCTATTTATTAGCTCTTAAAAAGTGCTCTTGGAATATATGTCGGTATCAAGTTTTCCCTTGGGCAAGAGGAATTTGATGGGAGGTATGACGTTTCTGATCCAAGCACTTATTTCAGGATATAAAAATAATATAAAAACTATAAACATTAATTTATTAATAAAACATAAGTCCAGTTCCCCAAAGCTAGCAATTAAAAGAAAATAAACAGAAACCTCGAACCTTGGGCTGTTAACTTGTCCAGACTTCACAGAATTTAGCTTTCTTTCTCCATAACTTTTTAGATCAGGCAATTCTTGCAATTGCCACCTGCTCTGTCTTTTTAGTATATGTATATATATGTGTGTGTGTGTGTGTGTTCTAGACAATTCACTCTCTATATATTCTTGAGGATATACATTGAAGACCTATAGTTAACTCAAAAATGAGCAGAACTTTTTATTAGCACATAAGAAAGCAACCATTTCATATTATCATAATTACTGAGTGATTGCTCTAAGCAGAGATTGAAGAAATACAACTATTTCCATTTCCTAATGACTTGTATGCAAGTTTGATTGTGAAATTTCAGTCCTTTAAGACAAATGAAATGTTGAGATGGGCTGGGCGGTGGTGGTGCACACCTTTAATCCCAGCACTTGGGAGACAGAGGCAGGCGGATCTTTGTGAGTTCTAGGCCAGCCTGGTCTACAGAGCGAGATCCAGGAAAGGCGCAAAGCTACACACAGAAACCCTGTCTCAAAAAACCAAAAAAAAAAAAAAAAAAAAGGAAAAGAAAAAAGAAATGTTGAGATGGAAGCATGTGTGTTTAAGAACCTAGAGAAAAATTTACAGTCGGCTAAGGTAAAACATGAGTCCCAACCAAAGAGTTGACCAGAGTCAACAATGCACCACCTGAACCTTCTTTGGACTACACCTAAATTCATCTGTACTTCTGGATCTTGGCATCTTAAATTTTTTTGCCTCTGGACAAAGTCGATGAGATTCCATGCCTCACCCCAGTGGTTCCTTGTACTACATACGCTGTGGTAGTTAGCTTTCTTCTAACTCTTCAGGACAGATTTTTCTGCTACATTGGGCTTTATCCCAAAGATCTAACCTTAGCAAGTAGTAGCTACTGTTTCCATGAACTGACTACATTGGTTCCCCTAAACCTGGAAAGCAAATGAATATCTGACAGTTACACAGAAGGTAGGCATAGTGCTGAAGAGATGGGAACACACCATGATAACACACAACTCCCAACCTCCTTCATGTCCATTATTGAAATACCAAGTGGCTATTAATATCAGTAATTTATTGCTTCACCTATCACTTTTATTTTGCCAGATTCAAGGCCCATAAATACTATTATTAATGGTTGATTTAGCCCTTTAAGGACTTAAATAGAATTATTTTAAAGGAAATATGCTGCATTGGTAAGTAGAAAACATTTCCTACGGTCATAAATAAAAAGAAGGCCGTGAAAACAAAGCAGTATTATTCTATTGAGGTTGCCTATCAAGAATCTGAGTAACAGTTCAAAATGCCTTTTAATTTATAAATTAAAAAAGATTGTTAAAGGTTGGACATACTAGTATAGAGTTAAGGTTTTTCTAATTAGAAAAATAAAGGCTTTTGAAGAGTGACTTCTTTGCTGTGAGTCCAATTATTTAATGGTGCATCTAGCTAAAATTACTTCCTGTACCCACATCTGCATGTCCAATGCCTTGGAAAACTAATTAGCTTCAGCTACCATATATGACGATGGTTAGAGAAGGTTACAGGAAATACTTCACAGCATGTCTGCCTGTTGCAGAGGATTGGGACAGCCACTGGAAGGGAAATTTATATGAAAGTACTTTGCCGGTTGTGGTGGCGCATGCCGGTAGGATTTGCTGAAGGAGGCGGAGGCAGGAGGATCACGAGTTCGAGGCCAGCCTGGGCTACACATTTTTACCAAAAAAAAAAAAAAAAAAAAAAAAAAAAAAAAGGCCGGGCGGTGGTGGCGCACGCCTTTAATATCCCAGCACTCGGGAGGCAGAGCCAGGCGGATCTCTGTGAGTTCGAGGCCAGCCTGGTCTCCAAAGCGAGTTCCAGGAAAGGCGCAAAGCTACACAGAGAAACCCTGTCTCGAAAAACCAAAAAAAAAAAAAAAAAATACTTATGTACTCTGGGAGAAAAGCTAATCGAAATTTCAGAACTAACTTCTAGAAAGAGAATTTAAGTGCATGAGCTCCGTCTGGAGATACCAGTATTTATTTAGTTGAGGGACCCATTCAATTGTCATTTTTTTGATTTTGTGTGTTTGTTTTTGAGACAGGGTCTCACCATGTAGCTCTGGTTGTCCTGGAACTCACTATGTAGACCAGGCTGGCCTTGAACTCAGATCTTCCTGCCTCTGCCTCCCAAGTACGGGGGTTACCTGCTTCAATTGTTCTTCTAATTAAATCCCACGGAAAGCTTCTAAATTCCCCAGGGTAAGATAAAAAAAAAAAATGTGGTGATAACACACATGGCATCTACCTGAAGGATATTTATGGATTTAATTTTGGTAGGTGTGAATAATGTCAGTTCTGCCATCTTCAAGATTAAGGGGATAGTATGTATGAGAAAGAAAAGATTCAGGTGTTTGTATTCTTGTATTTGCTCCTTTTCTTTCCCTTACTCAAACAAACAGCAACTCTGCTTCCTTGCCTCAGGGCACTTTTGTGGCTGGGGAGAAAAAGGAGAAGTAGTTTTCAAAACTGTTTCCTTCCTAGCTTGAAATGGCCACCCCCTAATTTCTATTTAATAAGAGTTTAGGGCCATTAATCTGGTAGCAACTAGCATAGGAGATGACTAGAAACCTATTGGCAATACATTGGCGTGCCATTAGATTTCAATTAAAATACCACTTTCTAAACCTGTCCACCTTGTCTTACACAAAATGTTGATCCACAGTACAACAACAATGGGTTGTTATTTTTAGTTAAGATGCAGAAGAGAACACCAAGCAGAGGGGTTTTTAATCTAAGCTGTCCTTGGTTGTTGTCATGGTGGGGACAAGTTTTCATGGAGAATAAAATTTCTCGTCTAGACCCATTAAGAGAAGAGAGAAGCCTGTGGGTCTCTTGAACTGTAAGGATTTGGTCCCTCATACCTGGAGGGACCTCCTGACTGGGACAGTCTCAGAGCAAATTGCTGAAAGAAGCTTCAGAGAGACAGGGATGTAAAAGGTGGGGACGCCCAGACATACCAGTGCTGCACATATAGAAAAAATGCCGCAGTCTGGTGGATCGGGGGTCAGCCCATAGATTCATTGCAACTAACCTACTGTCAGTCGTTAATTCTAGGTTCCTGGATTCATGAATTCTAGTTGTGGAATGAATAAAATAAACACAGCACTCTGCCATCCATAAGCTTACACTTGAGGAGTCCAAAGCAATACCCATTGCACTACAGAGCCTCCAATCAAAAGCAAACATTCTTTTCGTGTGTGTGTGTGTGTGTATGTGTGTGTGTGTGTGTGTGTGTGTGTGTGTGTGTGTGTGTGATGGAAAATAAGCACATTTTACATTGAGTCACCCACACGAACACAGTTTTTGCTTTATCTTGGCTGAGAAGCAATTGAAAGCACATAGGAGTAGCCTCTTCAGGAAGTCTTGAGGAAAGGTAATGATTCGTGAACTAATCACTGGAGTAGAGATTGGCTAAGCACAAACATGATAGAACATGTGAGGGGAGAGGAGCATGGCGTGACTTACATGCGTAAAAGCATGAAAAGAATAGTCAGGGTTGGAATGCACAGCAACGAGAAAATTGTCACAGGATCCAAAGCAGAGTAACCTGATCACTAGAAGTCTTCTGTACAAAGTAGGTGACATGTTTATCATGATGCTGGGGATGATTCAGGACATGTGTGTGCTGTGGGATGGTCTGTATGTTAAATGTGTTGCTCTGATTGATTAATAAAACACTGATTGGCCAGTAGCCAGGCAAGAAGTATAGGCAGGACAAAGAGAGAGGAGAATTCTGGGAAGTAGAAGGCTGAGGCAGAGAGACACTGCCAGCCGCTGTGATGAGAAGCAACATGCTAAGACACTGGTAAGCCACGAGCTACGTGGCAACTTATTGATCAATAGAAATGGGTTGATTCAAGATATAAGAACAGTTAGCAAGAAGCCTGCCACGGCCATACAGTTTGTAAGCAATGTAAGTCTCTGTGTGTTTACTTGGTTGGGTCTGAGCGGCTGTGGGACTGGTGGGTGAGAGATTTGTCTTGACTGTGGGCCAGGCAGGAAAACTCTAGCTTCGTGTGTGTGTGTGTGTGGGGGGCAGCCCTGGATAAAATGTAAAAGCTTTATTTATGGAACACTTTCCTCCTTGGTAAGCATTCATACTGCCTCCCCTCCTTGCTATTATTGAAATTAATTCATCACTGCCATAAACTGAGAATATGATACTTGATTTGTTAATAGGGCTGAAAGTATGACCCATCTCATTTTAAGAGAAAATCCTAAGACTAAAAAAGTCATTAGTGCCGGGCGGTGGTGGCGCACGCCTTTAATCCCAGCACTCGGGAGGCAGAGCCAGGCGGATCTCTGTGAGTTCGAGGCCAGCCTGGTCTCCAAAGCGAGTACCAGGAAAGGCGCAAAGCTACACAGAGAAACCCTGTCTCGAAAAACCAAAAAAAAACAAAAACAAAAAAAAAAAGTCATTAGTGCAGTGATATACCCTGGTGTTTGTATACTTGGGTGGGTGTTGCCTTTTTCTGTTTGGAAGTCTGGCTTGGATGGTAGCTGAAGAGCCAGTGGAAAGCTAGTGGATGATGATGGTTGTGTGTCTCTCTCCTCCTCCCCCCTCCTCTTCCTTTTCTCTTTTCTCCATTCTGATAGAATCTTGGAACATTAGAAATGTTCTCTTGGGTTGTCCCATTTGTGTTACAGCCGAGTGCTTTGAGTGGACTGAATGACCCAAAGATTCTTGTAAACTTCCAAGGTATGTTTATTTCTACCATGCCAAATGAATAATTGAGGACTTGGAACACCCTGTTAAGGAATGATGGTGACTTATGATTAGAAATTATTCACAACTATTTGAGGTCTCTAGGCTGGGAAAGGTGGTAAAGTGGACCTGAAATTCTAGCGCTTGGGAGGCTGAGGCAGGAAGATCATGAATTCAAGGGCGGCATGGACTGTACATAAGAAGGCACCACCTATCTCAAAACCAGAGCAAAGAAACTATGACTGTAGGCTGAAGGTGTAGCTTAGCAGTGTAGCACTTGCCTAGACTAGGTCAGGATGGGGGCTCAATTTCCAATGCTACATAAGTCAGAAGCAACAAGAAGAAATCTATTTAAAAGACCCGGGGAAATAGATATAAATTAACGTCTAATATACATGTGTGAGTGAACACACACACACACACACACACACACACACACACACACACTTCAATGCATAGTAGACATCTGTTTTTCATTTCTTTACATTTCACCTGTCTGGCATCATTTCTACTTCCTATTAATAGCAGGATATATGTCTACTTGTACAGAATCTGGTGATATTTCTTAAGGTGCTTTTGCCACCACGAACGTGAACCAATTGGGGTTCTTGATTGCAAATAACAGACATTGATACTGCCCTCCTTTTCTGCTGCTGTGAGAGGCATGACCACAGAGATGAAGGTTTAAAACTAGACAAAATTTAAACCCAGAGTTTCCCTGCGCCAAGAGTACGTGATACATCAGTGACATTCTCTACTCAGCATCATAGGAGGCTGAGGTCAGGATGCTGGCAGGTACATTCTCTCTGAACCAGGCTCACTGGTTGTTGGTATTCTGTTTCATGTAGAACCATGGTCCTATTTTCTTGCTGGCTATCAGTCGGCCACAAGCTGTTCCCGTGTCTTTGTTTTATGGCCTCCTCCTTTAGGTAACTAACAACACGATGTCTGCCCATCCAGACCAGCAGGAAAATCTCTGGAAAGGACCTAGTGTCTATTTTAAGAGCTTTCCCTCAAATTCAAGTCCATTTGAGGCAGCCTCCCTTCTTTCCCCTTTAGTGAGTTATTGTTAAAATGTACACTGAAATTTTATCAGTTAAACTTATTTTTTGGTGGTAGTAGAGGTGTAACTCAGAGCTTCTTGCATTCCACACAAGCATGATAGCATTGAGTTACATCCTCATCCTAGCCATTTTGAGCCGCTTTTAAGTGTACAGTTCAGTGGCAGTAAGTGCAGTAATGTTTGATGCGTCCATTGCCAGCGTCTGTTCACAGAAGTTGCTCACCTTGCAAGGCAGAAACTCAGTGTATTGAACAGAATTCTATGCCCTGTTCCCTCCAATCCCGAGCAACCATGACTCTTGTTTCTGAGAGTTTCACTACTGAGTAATTCATAAATAGAATTACGTAGTATCTATACTTTTGTGAACAGTTTATTGCCCCTAGCCTAATGTCTACAAATTGTATCCATATTATAGCACGTGCCAGAATTTCCTCCTGCATATTATGGATAGGGATGTATCATGTTTGACTTGTCATTTATTTATTTATTTATTTATTTATTTATTTATTTATTTATTTATTTATTTATTTATTTATTGGTTTTTCAAGACAGGGTTTCTCTGTGTAGTTTTGGTGCCTGTCCTGGAGCTCACTCTGTAGAGTTAGCATTTTACCCATTAATAATCACTAGGTTGCTTTTACATTTAGGCCACTGTTATAAATAATTATGAGAATCTGATTGCACTTCTTTGGTATATACCCTCAAGAGTGGGATTTCTGGATCACATGGCTGTTCTAGCTTTAATTTGTAAAAGCCCACCATACTATTTTGTGCTCAAAACTATTTTACACTCCAACCATTCAAAATATTTTACTCTCCCCCACCTCAGGTTCTCAAGCTAGAACCCAGGGCTTCATGCATACTTGGCAATTGCTCTACCACTGGGTACACCCTCTGCCCAAGAAACATTTTTTTTAATAACTAAGAATCAGCAGGTTTGGAACATTACTTGCATGGGTTGAAATTCTTTTGGTTTGTGTCATATAACCTTATTATGGAGCTGGAACCCTTTACATTCACAGTCCCTCCTACCCTCAAGAGGATTATATATAGTGTATACACCAGAGATAAGAGTTTTAGGGACCGACCAACTTTGAATTCTACTTACTGTACTTTTATAGGCAAAAATATTTATGTAAAGGATAATAACTGGCTTCGGAGTTAGTGTGAAGGCTGCTAATTAGCCACCATAATCAGTAGGAAAAAATGTGAGGAAGATAATATCAAACAGATCACCCTATGCGAAAACTCTGTGGAATGGCATTGCTGGTATCACTGTTGATGTTGCCTAAGACAGTAAAAAACTAAAAAAACCCACTGTAACTAGCCCCCACAGAGCTCCTTCCTCCTAGCATTCACCTTTATATAAAGCCTTCACCTTGTTTCTCTGTTGCTTTGTGTGACCATCGGGTACAGCAACTATAATAATCTGTTACTTCCAAGATGAAAAAACAAAAAAACACTGTGACCTCAGTCTTGGATCTCTATCACTTGGGTGAATCACTGTCCCTGGGAGTATTCTGCAGGCCTGTCTGGAGACACTCAGGCAGCCTTACAGAGAAGCCCACACAGTGAGACACCAGAGCTTCCATCTAAGTGTGTGAGCCTTCTGAAAAGCAGATTATCTAGCCCCAGTTAAGCCTTCGGGTAAATGACTACAGCGCTGACTGCTGGTGAGCTACAAAGGTTTGTTTTTGTTTGTTTGTTTGTCTCTAGGAGTTTTAAACAAAGTTGAACACAAATAGAGAATTGTCATAGGGGAACTCTGACCACCTGGTCCTTTGCAAACAGATGGTTGCTCTCACTGTTGCAGATGAAGCTTGCCGACCCCTCCATTATGGCTACCAAGAGCAAACATGAGCTCTTCTGCATTTTTACAACATTTTCTCCAATCCCAAGTCCTCAGCATCAATGTCCAGTTAAAGACCAAGTGAAGAAAGAACTCCTAGCCCAGTTGGGCATCAATAGTGGATGCCATTGCCCTTCCAAAATCCCTGACATTTTTTCTCCAAAAAGTTAGGTTAAAAATAGGCGAACAAGCCGGGTGGTGGTGGCGCACGCCTTTAATCCCAGCACTCGGGAGGCAGAGCCAGGCGGATCTCTGTGAGTTCGAGGCCAGCCTGGTCTCCAAAGCGAGTTCCAGGAAAGGTGCAAAAAAAAAAAAAAATGGGCGAACAACTCGCATACCTCTATCTAAAGCAAATAGATAGACTCTCTATAGCATTAGCAAAGTCAGTTTCTACTTTGGGGTCTGTACCACTTGATTTTTTTTTTTTTTTTACCCTCCTTCAACCCACATACGGAGTTTTGGGAGATACCCATTCTTCCAATACATCCAGTGCTGTGGATATCGCTCTGTATAAATAAAATGCTGATTGGCCAGTAGCCAGGCAGGAAGTATAGGCCGGACAAGCAGAGAAGAGAATTCTGGGAACAGGAAGGCTGAGTCAGAGAGATGCCACCAGCCGCCGCCATGAAAAGCAAGATGTAAGGTACTGGTAATCCACGAGCCACGTGGCAACTTATAGATGAATAGAAATGGGTTAATTTAAGATATAAGAACAGTTAGCAAGAAGCCTGCCACGGTCATACAGTTTGTAAGCAATCTAAGTCTCTGTGTGTTTACTTGGTTGGGTCTGAGCAGATGTGGGACTGGCTGTGAGAGAGAGAGAGATTTGTCCTGACTGTGGGCCAGGCAGGACCAGGAAAACTCTAGCTACAATTCAGTTTTGCTAATAACCAGAGATAGTTTCTGTGATGGGAGCGAAAGAAATCTAGTAAGTAACAAATGTTCAATGGTTTTCCCCTTAGCTTGGTCTGTAACCAAATACTCCAAATTTCTGCATCAAAAGCCATCTCTTTGTATTTTTGTTATTAATGAAGGTAAGTTTAGGCTATTATTTATTTATTCATTTAGCAAAATACTATTAAACATTTTTCCATAAGTCAAATCTTATGCTGGCTTTAAGAATAAATGGTATTGTCTTTTCAAAATGACTCAAAATATGAAAATTCCCCTCAAATGTTAGGTAAGAAACAAGAAACAACTCAATCTAAATCAATAATATTAACGTGAAGTTTTAACAATATAAACACTCATCTTGTGTAATCACCAATGTCTAGTGGACAGCTCAACTCCTGTGACCAAGCACAGCACCACTAATAATAGAGCAACCTTCATTAAGTACTTTGGTGTTATCTAGGTTACATTTCTTTTTCTAATATGGATATCCTGAGCCCAATAAAACTTTCACATGAAATATATCTTTCTAAGAAATTTAAGAATAGAAGAACATATTAGATATTACCAAAAGGATTTAATCAGACATACTCAAACACACTCAAAATGTAAAGTATTCTATTAGGACAGTTGGCCTGGTATATTAATAAAAGACCATGTAGTAAAATTTTTTTAAATGTTTAAAAAATGATTTGTTTCTTTTTATTTCTGTGCATGCATGTCTGTGTGAAGGTATCACATATCCTGGAGCTGGAATTACAGACAATGGTGAGCTTCCATGTGGATGCTGGGACTTGAACCGGGGTCCTCTGTAAGAGCAGCCAGTGCTCTTAGCTGCTGAGCCATCTCTCCAGCCCCAATTTTGTTGTTGTTTTGTCTATTGCTTTTGGCTTTTGGTTTTTCAAGACAGAAATTCTCTGTGCAGCCCTGGCTGTCCTGGAACTAGCTCTTTAGATCAGGCTGGTCTCAAACTCACCGAGATCCACCTGTCTCTGCCTCCCAAGTGTTGGGATCAGAGGCATGCACTATCACTCAGGTAATTTTTTTAATTTAATTTTAATTTTTAAAATTTTAATTTTAATTCTTTTGAGATTATAACATAATTATATCATTTCCCCCCTCCCCTTTCTCCCCTCCAACCCTTCCTATGAACAACACCTCCCTCCCCAGCTCTCATTAAAATTCATGGCCTTTTTAATCTTTAATTGTTGTTGTTGTTGGTAATGTGTGTGTGTGTGTGTGTGTGTGTGTGTGTATGTGTGTGTGTGTTCCTAAATGTATAAATACAACTTTCTTAGTTTGTAGAATGTTACTTGTATGTACATGTTTTCAGGACTGACCATTTGGTATTCGATAACCAGTTGGTGTACTCTTTCCTGGGAAAACCTGTTTCTCCTGCTCTCAGAATTCCTTAATTGTTGTAGTTCTTTGTCTAGGGTGGGTGTCATGAGCTTTCCCCCTTCCATGATAGCATGTCCATTGGTGTTGTCCTTGTTCAGATCATTTTTATACAATCATATTGATGAGTGTTTATAGGTATAGCTTCTGTAACATTTCTAGGAGACATAGTCTCACAGCAAACTTCCTGTTTCTCTGGCTTTTACAATCTTTCCATCTCAAGCTTTCAAAGGAGGGAAGCAACCCATAGTCCTACCCAGCTGTGGAACCCATAAACCACAATAATGACCAGTGTGTCACTTTAACTCAAAGGGTATAACAGTGGCACACATAACTTGCTGGTAACCAACAGCTCTCTAGTTGGCCCCACAACCAGCTTAACAAAAGGAAAATTATACTGGGAACTGGAAATAGCCAACTACCCAAGACTAGTGAAGTTATAGGTCTTGGAGTAGAACCTACAACCACTGATTTACTAAACCAGAATATCTCTAGATACATTATAAATATTTATCTTTATACCCACAAATAAGTGTGGGTCTCATCCTTTATTAAAGAAACTTCTGTTTATCACAGATGGAAACCATCATAGAAAACCATAGCTGATAAAATAATAATAATAATAATAATAATAATAATAATAATAAATGATAATAATGAGAGCTAGCCTAGGTTAAAAGAGAAAGAAAATGTAACAAAATTGCCCATATAAATTTTGATAGGCTCTGGTATGAAACTAGTCCTGATTATTGGAGAAATTTGAAAACTGGTTGCATCTTAAAATGGTATAAAAGATTTTTTGTTAATTTTTGTTCAAAGATATGGTAATAATGTGATCATGTAGCGATTTAAATGGATGGATGTGTGGTTTTGTAATGATGTTGACAACTTCTTTTCAGGTGTTAAATAAAGACAAGCCTGAGTAATATGAAGCAAATCTGGCAATGTTTGAACTTTTGAGTAAGTAGCAAATATTTGTATCAAGCTTCCTTTTGGGCCCCATAAACCACAATAATGTGGAACCCATGGCTTCCAAATCATGCCACGGAGACTTACTAATTATGAATGCTCGGCCTTATCTTATGCTTGTTCCACTAACTCTTATAACTTATTTTAACCTGTTTCTCTTCATCTACATTTTGCCTCAGATATTTTTTTTAACCTTTCTTTCATTCTGTATGTCCTACTCTGTGTCTTTCTAGCTGGAAGCTGCCCGCCTGGCCCTAGGCATCTCCCTCTCTTTCTCCCTTGTTCTCTTCTCTCTTCTTTCTCGAGCCCAGATTCCTCCTCCTACTCATTCTCTCTGCCCACTCGCCCTGTCTATCCCTCTCCTGCTATTGGCTGTTCAGCTTTTTATTAGACCAATCAGGTGCCTTAGGCAGGCAAAGCAACACATCTTTACATTATTAAACAAATTCAGCATAAACAAATGTAACACATCTTTGCCTACTTAAAGCATCTGCAGCATAAACAAATGTAACACATCTTTACATAGTTAAAGTAATATTCCACAACAGATATTCCCATATTTACTATTCTTTCAGATTTTCTGTTTGAACTTCCCTGTCCCCATGGCAAAGGATAACCACAAGGCCTTATACACACTTGGCAAAGTGCCCTACCTTGGAGCTATGTACCTAGCCCCTGAAAATTTGTTTTCCTTTTCCTTCTTTTTATGTGTATGTGTGTATGGGGTGTGTGTGTAAGTGTGTTTGCATATGTGTAGTCACATTTGCATGTACAGGTGCTTGTATATATGTATGTCATGTGGGTACTATTTCCTTTTCTGTAGCCGTGGTAAAATATCAGACACAAAGCAAATTAAGGGGCAGAAGTGGTGGCCCACACATTTAATCCCTGTTCTTGGGAGCCAGAGGGAAGCAGATCTCTGAATTCTGAATTCAAGGTCAGTGTGGTCTGTATAGCAAGTTCCAGACCAGCCAAAGCCACATAGTGATACCCTGTCTCAAACAAAACAAAACAAAACAAGACAAGACAAGACAAAACAAATAAACAGACAGACAAGTTAAGGATGAAAAGATTTGTTTTGGTTTATGTTTCCAGATGGATAGAGTCATGGTTGATCTTTTAGCTGACTTGAAGAGTCAACTTGACACAGCCCAGGTTATTGGGGGGGGTACACCTATCAGATTAGCCTCTGGACATGTCTATGGAGCATTTTCTTGATTGCTGATTGATTTAGAAGGGCCCAAGGCACTGGGAGTAGTACCATCCCTAGTCAGGTTGGCCTGGCCTATATACAAAAGGTAGGTGGATGTGAGACTAGAATCAAGCCAGTAAGCAGCAGTCAGTCCTCCATTGTCTCTGCTTTAAGCTGCTTCCCTGGCTTCCCTTGATAACGTAAGACGACACAAACCCCTTCTTCCTCGTGTTGCTTTCGCTCATGGTGTTTATCACAGCAACAGAAAAATAAACTAGAACAGAGGAGAAGGAACCTTAATAGCCTGGGAAAGTGTGGCAGCAGGAAACCTCTCTTTTCACAGGTTGGAGGTGTGGTCTTGCCCCCAGGGAAGGGTTTCTACTGTTCCAGTGCAGAGCCCGGAGGCTTCTTTTTAATGATACTATCATGATTCACAGTTGAAGCCTCGTTTCCAGCATGTGACTTGACTGCAATCTTAGTCTTCGTGGTGCTCTTTTTCTCTTTTTTTCCTTCCAAACATCACAGTGTTCATTTCTTTCCTGCACTGTTACTCCATTTCACTGTAGATCTGCGTAAGTGTAATCAGTAATAACAGTCCCGTAGACTCCGTGTTAATGCTATCTAGAAATTCATTCCACCAAAGAAGTTAAAAGAATCGCTTTTTAATTCAGCTTCAAGTAATTTCTCAGAATGTGGACAGAGCACAGCCAGGTTCTTTGCGTAAATAGCATGGGTTACCCTTTTTTTCTGGTAGCAGCCTTGTTCCCCTCTGTAACGTCCTAAGCCATGCATCTATTATCCACATTTTTCTCAACATTTTTATCTTCCATGTTCTCACTAGAGTGGCCTATTAAGCTCTGCTTCTAACATTAACTACTTCTCTCTCCCAAGGTTCTGAAGTCCCCCCTTAAGCAGTCCGAAGGCATAAAAGCCATTGATCAGGTTTTCACAGTGCACCCCACTCTTGATACCAATTTCTGTATCCATTACTTTCCTGTTGCTGTTATAAAGTACCCCGACAAAAATCAAGTCAGGAAAAAGAGAGTTTTATTTTGATTGATAGTCCCAAAGAGATAGAGCCCATCATGTCAGGGAAGGTATAACTGCAGGAGCCCAAGGCTGGCAGATCACATTTTCATCCACATGTCACAAGCAGAGAGAAGGTACAGGAAGTGAAATGGGACTATAAAACCTCAAAGCCTGCCCCCAGGATATACCCCCACCACCAAAACACTGCTTCCTAAAAGTTCCATAATGTCCCCAAACAGCACCACAAGCTTGGGACCAAGTATTCTGTAAGGAACACATGTAAGGCCTAGGGTGAACAACCCTGGTCAGGAATGATAAGCAATAGAATGATGTAAGTAAACCACAAATGGAGTAGTGATAAGCTATAAGCTATGTGTGGAAGTAGGGATAAGACTAGAAACCTAGCCAGGAAAGAATATAAAAGATGAAGCCTCAGACCCGACCAACAGAGCTCGTCAGGCCCTCGCGCGAGACGACTCTCCTCTGCCAGAGACGTGAGATCCTGTCCCCAGTGCAGACGTGGCTGACCTGAGGAAGGCTGACCCAAGATCCAGAGGAACAGACGTGGCGAGTCCGGACCTGTATACCCGGAGAGGTACTCCTGCTTCCATTTGGAAGACAGGATGAATATTGCTTGTAATCTTACTGTGTGAATAAATGAGTGTTATACCAAGTCTGAATCAAGAGTGATTATTCCTCCCCCGTAACTGGGGTATGTGCTCGCTACAGTTGGCGTAGTCGGCAGGATTTTGGGCTTAAAGCCTCCTTGACCACTGAGCACTGAGGAATGTAAAATAAGTAATACAAAAGAATTGGCTATTACTCTGGTGGAGTAACAAATTACAGGAAACCAAATAAACTAGCAAGTGACCTCAAAGCCGCTCTGAGAAATCAACTCCTCGAAGTCAACTCTGAGGACCTAAAGAAAATCTGAAGGTCCAAGGAGGAAGAACTGGTAGGAGAGAGAGTATCAGAAGCAGACGGGAAACACCACCCTCCCTAAGGGTGCGGAGTACCGAAAGAATACCGGACACCTTGATGCCAACCCAGACCCCTGGGGAAGAGCGGAAGGTGCTGGGAAAGAGCTAAATGAGGCGCTGGCTGGCCAAAAGGATAGAAAGGATCGCGGATTTGAAATTTGAAAAATTGATAACTGATTCTTTGAATCAGTCTAAACGAATTAGTGACTGGGAGTGGTACCGTAGGAAAAAATTAATTAAATTTTTGTACGGCTTGGTATACCACTTACAATGAATAGATTAATTAAGAAATTTAAGAAGACTAACATCTCCCCAGTGACAGGTAGAGAATACCAAGATGAGGTTGAAGAACAGTGGGGAAAAGTAGCCTCCAAGGTTAAAAATAAGGCCGGCATGAAATCAGTAAATGTAACTAACACATTAACAAATCCGGATGTGGTAGAACAAGAATTAGAGGGATGTAGCAAGGCACAAACTACCGCACTGCTTATGAAAACGGTGCAGGATATTGATAAGGACAGATTAATGGGCAAAAGGCTAGCCTTAAACATAGTGAGGAAGGAACAGGAGCGTAGCGCTACTCCTGGATGGAATGGATGTAACACCGTACCATCATTTCCTGTCTCTACCCAAAGTAAGAGAACTCCTATTAGAAGTACTATATCAGCTCTGAACCCCTTCAGCACTGGAGGAGGTAGTAATCGTCCCAAATTTGAAATGGGAACGAAGTTTGAGGAAATCAGGCCATATACTCCTCAGGAGATCTCAGAATTACGGAAAGATTATGCCCAAAATGGACAGAAAGACGCAGAATATATGTGCCGACTGTGGGAAAAGGGAGCTGACACAGTCATGTTAACTGATCTAGAAATGAGAAAGATCAGAAACATAGTAGAGAACCCCTCAGTATCAGAAGCTCTAGAGCATGTAATTGAGACATCAAAAGGCGATACACATCCACTATTAGATTGGATTACTGCAGCTTGGAGATTTGCATTTCCAACATTAGACCTCACTCAATTTGAATCAGCAGCACAGTGGACAACATATGCACAAGCCATAAAACAATGTAGAAAATTAGGCATATTGTATTTCATATACAACCAGGTACCCACACCTCAAGCCGCACCTTTTACACCACAATTTAAAAAGATCATTATTAAAGGAGCTCCAGCACACCTTAAAATGAGCCTAGCTGGACCCCTGCAGGCATGTCAAACCATCTCAGATGCCATGGAATTCTTTAAATCTTACAGGGAAATGGACATAGACAAGGTAGTATCATTCAATGTTAATAAGAAACAGGACAAGAAGAAATTTACACCGCGGTTTTCGAACATAAGACCATTTGGGAAAGCTAATCAAATGCCCATAAGACAGAATGCAAATAAACCATGGAACCCAATTAGAAGGTTGACAGGAAGGAAAAATATCCCATGGAGAGAGACACAGAGCAACCCATGGAGACAGACATGCCAACCAAAACCTTTTTTAGGCAATCGAAATTTCAAACCAAATTTCAGACCAAAATTTTTCAATCAGAACAATCACAGGCCCCCAAGAGCAGGACCCCCCAGACGCTACATACCAAGACGGACTTGATCAACCCGGCTGGTAGACCATTCGTAGCTATACCTATAATAACTAACAAAGGGCCGAGAATAGTAAAATGGCTAATAGATACAGGTTCTGAAATTAGTATAATAACGGAATTTACAGAACATTTTAAAACTGATAAAAGGATTATAATACAGGGAGTAGCAGCAGAAACAGAAGTACCAGTAATAAAATTAAGACTCAAATTATATAATAAGGAATATGAGATTGAAGCAGCTAGCTTCAATGCACCCTGTAATATCCTAGGCATTAAAGAAATAAGAAAATTATTCCCAGACTTTCTAAATAATAAGAGAATAGCTAAGGTCAGATGTAATCTAGCAGAAGTAAAAATACAACCTATTAAATTACCACACACACCCCCGACCTTCACGGCACAATACCCTATCAAAGGAGGTATTAAGGAAATAACAGAGACTATACAAACTTTGCTAAAAGAAGGCATTATAGAGAAATCTCAATCATTCAATTATAACAGCCCAGTATGGCCGGTGCTGAAACCTAATGGCAAATGGAGATTTACAGTTGACTTCAGGAGAATAAATGAAAAAACACCTAAACTTCCAGGACAACTTCCTGATGTGGAAGACATCTTTCTTAGAATTAAAAATTCAGCTCCAAAGGCAATGGCAACTATAGACTTAAGTGATATGTTCTTTGGAATCCCATTACACCCAACATCTAGGGAACTTACTACATTTACATGGCAAGGACAGCAATATCAATTCTTGAGACTCCCTCAAGGGTATTTGAACAGTCCTATTATTGCACACAACACCTTAACAACTACATTAAAGAGCTTTGAGCCAGAATCAGACTGTAACATATACACCTATGTAGATGATATAATGATAGTAGGACAAGCCATTGACAAAGTACAAAGTACATTAGAGAAACTAATTCAACATTTAAGAAATGAAGGGTGGACTATAAACCTAGAAAAAGTAAATAAAGCAGGAACAGAAGTAAAATTCTTAGGGGTACATTGGACTACAGAAGGACCAACAATACCCGAAACAATAATAGATAAATTAAAACAAATTAAGCGACCCCAGAATAAAACTGAGGTACAACATCTAATTGGCCTATTTGCATATTGGAGGCAACATATTCCATACTTACAGATCATATTACAGCCTTTATATAAAATAACAAAGAAAGCACAGGATTTTGAATGGGACCAAAACTGCGAAAATGCCGTTAAATTGGTACTGGAATATATAAACCAGTATAGCCACCTATATTATATACAGCCCGGTGACCACGTATTTGTGGACATCTTGTATATGCAGGGTTATGGTAATTGGAATATATTTTCAAAAAATAAAGACAGGGAAACGCCAATAGGCTTCTACTGCAAGAAATTCCCATGGTCAGAGAACAAATATTCGCTGTTCGAAAGAACCATATGGACAGCCTACGAGGCATTCAGGACAATCCACTCACTGCTCAAAGAGAACCATGTGACTCTCCGATCACATATACCCATTTTGGACTGGGTAAAGGCACCAGGAGAGGCATGGGCTGGACTACCCATGGAAGGAAAGGTACTTCAATGGAAATGGTACCTTCAGGAGTTCCTTCGATCAACACCTCTGTCAGCAAAGGGGTCGGTACCAGCGGTATCGGAGTCGATACTTCAGTCCGACAGGCCCATGACTCCAGAGGGATACATTTTCCCAACCTCAACCCCTCCCCAGAAACAGGTACCAATGGGCCATTGGGGGACTAGAGAGTACGATCCCTCTCTGGTTAATGCCTGGTTCACCGATGGATCAGCAACCACGGTGAACAACAAAGTGAGATGGAGAGCAGCCGCTTATAGACCTGGGGATGGAATGGTCATTACAGACCAGGGCACTGATAAATCAGCCCAACATGCAGAAGTTATAGCCGCACTATTGGCGATAAGACAAACTATAAAGGACAATTATAAACAAATTTATTTATACACCGATTCATGGTGTGTGGCAAATGGCATAGCAGTATGGTCAGGTAAATGGAGAAATAATGGATGGAAAATTAATGGTAAAGACATATGGTCAAAGGCAGCATGGCAGGAATTGGATGCAGCAAGCAGACTAATCAAAATCATAGTATACCATGTAGATGCACATACCAAGAAACAGGATGAGACAAGTAAAAACAATGAAGTAGTAGACAAACTAGCTTCAGCGTTAAGTATAAAGTTAAAAGGTACATGGAAGGCAAACATTAATCCAGAAACAGGAAAAGGTAAAATACAGAGAGAATGGATACAGGTAAGACCATCAACTAAGGACATACCTATAAGTACAGAAGAGATACTGAAAATCCATGAGCAGTTAGGACATATAGGTACACATGCACTAAAAAGTTGGTTCGATAAAAGAAATCTTAAGATGACATGGCAGACAATAAGGAAAGCAATCAATAGTTGCAACAATTGCCCAAAGGCTATTACAAGATTAACACACAATTACCAAGGGATAATAGGACACCGAATGGATTTTAATAGAATCCTACAAATAGACTTCATAGGACCGTTAAACAGCTTCAAGGGAAAATATTGCTGCACCCTAGTAGACATAACAACAGGTCTCGGGATGGCCCGAGAAAGCACACACCCAGACCAAAACACAACAATACTTACAGTCTGGGGATGGTGTGCAGCATATGGAATACCTGATATAATACAATCAGACCAAGGAACTCATTTCACAGGAGCCAAAACACAAAGAATGGCTAGAAACTTAAACATTCAATGGGACTTCCATAGAGCCTATACACCGACAGCAGCTGGAGCAATAGAAAGATGGAACGGAATGATTAAAAAACAGCTAGAGATGCATAAGGGAATACCACTGTCATTAGCAATAAAAATAGCAACTTATGAATTGAATACCAGACCCAGAATAAATAGGAAGTCACCAATAGAAGAAGCTATACAAAAACAACACACAATAGATTATCCTACAGTTATAGATAGAGAAGTAATAAGGAATCCTAATTGCCTTTACAGGAACCGGAAGAATAACAAATTATCCCCAGCAGAAATAATAGCACCAGGAACAGGAAACAACGTGTGGATAACTCAAGGTAAAAAGGACTTGAAATTAGTCAGGCTGGAGGATATAGCATAAATGTGTGTCAGGGAGGTGATATTCATAAGGGCAACCCTCCTGACGATTTGGCTAATAGCTATTGCAGTATACATAGTACTGCCAATCTTAGAATTTGTTTTTCCCTTCTGTAACATCATTTACCAAAGAAGCTACTCATACAACATAGTCAACAATACCAATCCTGGATACGCTTCTGCAGCATCCAGAACAGCCAACTTCACGGTATGCTGGATACACTATCTGCACAGGAGGCAATAAGAATAGCAAAGGTGATGTGCACATTGAAGGCAAGCAAGCTATATGCTATTGGAGCCTTTGTGTGCTCATTTTTCTGTCTCAGGTTAGCAGATGTGATGGCAATAACAGCATACCAATGCCAGCCCTATTGGACAGTACACCCACAACAAACAGACCCACCACCACACCACATGTTATACAAGTGGGCACTAGGAAACAGAATACCGTTGCTACACCAACAATTTATGATCTAGAAGGCAAATTACCGCTATATTGGTCAGCAGAGAGAAGATTTACACATTACATAGGAAAAACACACAGTTTTTGGCAAAAATATGCAGCATGTTTAACATATGCCTGGTATAAGGGTTGCGATCAATATAGAATGGCACTTAGCATATACCATCCAAACAAAGAATATATGTTAGAATCAGGGGATGATGTTAACACCAACATACATGAGCAGAACCCGTTAAAATGCCATTACAATGAATTATGGACCAACATTACCAATCACGCAGCCATATACAACATGTATTGGACAAAGAATTCACATATCAGAACAAACACATTAAGGGTAAACTCACACTATAGGACCAATACAATGGGAATAGAGACAGAACCAGAATTTGACTGCGAACTAGGCATGAATAGCTCCTTTGTGAGACAATATTTCGCACCAGTAATAGCACAACAAATGGAGGAGATAGGTATGCTGTATAATAAGACATCAGAAAGGTGGGAAGAACAAGTGTATAATTACAATGATGACTATTATGATGGTGATTACCCTGCTAGTACAACACCTAAAGTAATTACAACACCTATAAACCCATGCAACCCTATGAATTGGACAGTATGCAATGATGGTGAAATGGTAAAACCATGGCCAGTAGTATCTGGAATAATACCATTACCCAAACCCTGGGGAAATAGATGTCCCAATAACTTATGGAGATACATTCAAAAACATAAGCTAGATGTACCAGGACAAAATAATACTAACTGGTTATGCGTAGCAGACTATCCCAATTTACCATTCTATGGTAACTTCTCTGTATTATATAGCACAGATAACCCATCAGTAAAAGGAAAGGAATGGAAATGGGATGACTGGACAAAAATATTGCAATTAGGAGTAGAACATTGGAGATTCCCAATCATACTTACAGATATTATACAACAACCTTGGGCTTCAATGAGACACACAATGAAACCTAAATATGATTGCAACACAGACACCATAACACACATTTGCATACTTACAGTAAATTCCACATTACACAGGGAAAAACACTCTTTTGCATATGCATGTATAAATATGTCCGAAGCAAATACAAACATTAGACAAAACAACAATACAAAGACTATAGTGGACCTACATGTAGGACCTTTATTTACTGGAAGAACATCAAGGTCAGTACAAGATTTAATAGCAATCACAGATATAATAGGCCAGAAAATACCATGGCTAGGAATTTTTGTGGACAGTACTGCAAATATAACAGCTACTAAACAGGTCCAGGCAATAATGAGATTTAATGACGACCAACAGTCATATCCAACATATTTTACGCAAGCAAGTAATTTGGGATTTTTTAACCTAACCTTAGCAAAATCACTAACACAAGGTACCACAAGCTTGAGAAACAAATTATCATGCTTTACCGAAACAAATAATACAGCGGTACGGACTAACTGTACCACAAATAAAGCAACCACAATAATAAATTTGAATATATATGGTAAAATTACCATAATAAACAAACATATGTCACTAGTAAAATTTGACAGCACACCAATATTAACCATAGGCATGATACATGAACCAAAACATAAAATACATAACATGCTAGGTGGCAGTAAGATATCAATTTGCTGGTTTCACGAATCTAAAGACTTACTGGACATGCCCATACCCTGGGAAGTCAGTGCCAATGTTACTACAGATGAAGTAGCAGCAAAAAATATTTTCATATTTAATAGGGCAATTGAACAAAAGGCATACAATTTCACAGGTATAAGGGAGGTAGAATATATCCCACCATATGTACAAATGACAAAGGCTATGAGAATCAATAAGGTTATGGATCCAGATGACCTAATGGTACATTATAAAAATGGGATAACTAGATCAGGGAGTTTTTGGCAAACTTTGGATTATGAAATGGATAGAGTAATTGAATTACAGCACCATAATCTCCCATATTATTTCTACATGTTAATGCCAAATCCACAATATAAAGAATGGAATAAGGCTGAATGGGTAGCACACAAACCTAGAGGATCAATGAAATCACATACACAATATTGGGATAAAATATATTATCTCCCGATATCAAGAAATAAGGATTTTCTCAGCGAACATTCCAACACACCATTAATTATATTTAGAGGAAATATGACCAGACCAAATAAAGAAAATATTGGATTATATACAGCTCATTTTCCAAAAGGATACCTAATACCACCAGAAGGAACCCCAACAGTAGTCAAGGCACCAGCTATTATACCAGACCTAAAAAGTCCAGCTAAATTAGTTTTATACCCTAGGATTAGAAAAATTGAAATTACAATAGATTTGACAGCACTGAAACCACCTATAGAATATTGTAGTGATGTGAATTTTAGATTTGATTTAGACTACTCATCACCAACAAGAGTAGGAAGAAAACCACTACAAGCAATGGCAGTAGCAGCCTTTATGGCAGGAGCAATTTTAGGTGGAATAATGGGTGGAGGAGTATCAGCAGCAATGATAGAACCAATAAAGGCAGAAATATACCACATACAAGAAGTAAATAAGAAAACAGCAGAAGCTTTAGCAGCTATATCAAATTCTATAGATGGCATGCATACACTAATACAAACTATGCAAGGCGAGATAAAAATGTCACAAGACCTTTATAAGGAACAATTCTCCTATCAAGCAAAACTTATTAATACTAACCATAACATGATGATGTGTCAAATGTATCGAACTCAAGTCAGTAATATGAATAATGAATTAAATAGTTTATTTAGCACAGGGTTAGGGAGAAGAACAAGAGAATATCAAAGTATACTAAACCCTGAATATGAAAGCTCATGCACAGATGGATTATGCAATATACATTTAGTACAGATCTTCTTACAAAATTCATTTTCAGCATATCATTCCAAGGCGATACCACAGCTATATACTGAAAGAACAGGAGTATCAGAATGGAACCACCAATACTTAGTACCCATAGACCATTACTTATGGACCAATATGAATGACACACCAGTGTACATACCATTAGAAGACTCCATATCATTAGGAGCAAATACATACGTTTATCCACATTTACCAGAAAGCACACTTGAAACTAGTCAATTGGCAGTAACTACTATCACACAGTCACTAGAAGATACGGGAGATTACACTTTCTTGATATGTGCTAAATATTTACCTACTTTAGTTAGCTGCATAAATCTTAATGAAACCACAATGAATGATGATATCACAACATTCAATATTACAGAATCAGGATGCTATATGGTACACAACTGTAGCATCCTACAAATGAATTTCACTAATTATGATGGTAAAAACATAACCAAACAAAGAGTGACCACATTAACACTAGAAGAAAAACATTATTTTGATGGCTCACACTTATTTAATGACCCAACAGAATTAGAACATCACCAAACATTTGTAAAACAAGCAATGGAGTTACAGCACATTGCAGATTTCAATCAGAAACAACTGGAATCCATACATAACAAAATTAAAGAACAAGATGCAGCCATACATACATCACAAGCACAAACGCACAATCTAGTGAATCTGTTAAGAACAAATACATACATACATAAAGACTGGGCAAAACAGATGCAGAAATGCAGCTTTTGGGATTATTTAGGCAGACTAGTCAGATTAGATCTAATATGTACACCAATTTACACATGGTGGCACTGGATAAAGTTAGCAACCTTTTGGTTTTTAGTAATTTTAGGGATAAGTATTGCTTTATGTTTGTCTAAAAAAATCAAATGCTTGATAATAACTCCATGCTTAAGATGTCTTACAGGAATCAAGTAACAGGAAACCCACTTTGGAATCCGTCAGGCAGACGCTTCGATTTACTTAGTAAAAATGGAATGAGTAATTTACTATATACCACATACCAAAAATATATGGAACCATTGTCTGATATTTTCTATAGAATAGGTATATTATCTATGGCAGGAACGATACAGGGATGCAAATACTGCACCCATAAATATGCAATGTTCTACCTATCAGAACCAGGTGAGGTAGACAACCTCCCAATGCTCTTGATGCACTTAACGTTCCACTTGACAATAGAAGGAGGTATACATGATATGAGATTAATTGGAGATGGATACATGAGATATTATGGAACCATACAATCTAGTGTATATAAAGTGAATGGAATGTACAAAATACACAGAAATAACATGGATGCAGCCCTACATATAAGCGCAGCTTTAGCTGCAGCATATGTGGGCCGCGGTAATCACAGAATATATGAAACATATAGAACATGGCTAAAACATAATCCTGATGAAGCAATAATAAGCATTGATAAAGATTTCCTGAATGACCCACAGTGGGAAACAGGAGAACCAATGTATTTACAAAGCATATGTACTAGAATATTGTGTAGAGATTTTGTTATAGATGTGTTAAAAGAATTTGCAGCTTATAGCACTTGGTTGAAGTTATATAATGCATATATAGAGAAAAAACATAAAAATAAACCACCCAGAATGAGAAGGATAAGAATGCTAGGATTAACAAATTAGGATAACATATTGTAAATCTCCAGGCTGCGACCTCATGTGATGCCTTTTATGTTGAAGACATTTCAGGCATCAGGGGATGGAATGTAAGGAACACATGTAAGGCCTAGGGTGAACAACCCTGGTCAGGAATGATAAGCAATAGAATGATGTAAGTAAACCACAAATGGAGTAGTGATAAGCTATAAGCTATGTGTGGAAGTAGGGATAAGACTAGAAACCTAGCCAGGAAAGAATATAAAAGATGAAGCCTCAGACCCGACCAACAGAGCTCGTCAGGCCCTCGCGCGAGACGACTCTCCTCTGCCAGAGACGTGAGATCCTGTCCCCAGTGCAGACGTGGCTGACCTGAGGAAGGCTGACCCAAGATCCAGAGGAACAGACGTGGCGAGTCCGGACCTGTATACCCGGAGAGGTACTCCTGCTTCCATTTGGAAGACAGGATGAATATTGCTTGTAATCTTACTGTGTGAATAAATGAGTGTTATACCAAGTCTGAATCAAGAGTGATTATTCCTCCCCCGTAACTGGGGTATGTGCTCGCTACATATTCAAAACATAAGCCTGTGGGAGACATTCCTCCTCCAAACCACTAAAGTGTATGTGAAGGGCTTGAGGTTGATGTTGGAATTTTTTTTTCCATTGCTCTCCAGTTTATTCCTTTTGAGGCAATTCCTGTCAGTCAAAGCTAGAGCTCACCAAAATGGCTATCCAGCTTCCTCTGGGGATTTCTTGTTACTACTATCAGATATTGGTAATATAATAAGGTGGGCTGCCATATCCATTCTGCATTTATGTATATTCTATTTTCTGAATTCTGGTCCTCATGTTTTTGAAACAAGTGTATATTTGCTATATATTTGCTATATATCTAGGCTATATTTCCATCCCTTGTCCTTTGGCATGAAATTTTAATAAGAAACTAGTGTGGGGGGGAGAATGTTTTTGAGGAGACCATTACATTTTCCTAATGGTACATGTCATGGCCTAAGATGCATTTGAAATGTAGGTAAAGCTATTTATAGTAATCAAAATGAGTGTGGAACATTACTGTTGTTATTGTGAGGAGGCTAGAGGAATTCTAAATAATGGGTAATGTATTGGGATTCTCCAAGCCACCATGAATTAACTTTCTCCAAATGCCAATGGCTCCCCTGATGATATATTTATGGCTTCCACTGCTTACGTTCTGTGCTTCCCCCATCCTAATCAAATTTGATTCTACAACCACCAGTCCCTAGAGACTGGTCTTGTCAGGATGGATGCTGATGTGGGTGCAAAATGTAAAGGCTACTTGTTAGTATTTAGCCATGATTATAGTCCCTCTTTTGAAGTGTGCTCTTCATCTTCCATGAGATGAGGAGAAACCTCAATCTTCTAGTTGTCCCTCCAACTCTGTTGTTGTTTTCAGATGCCTCTAAGGAGCACTTCTTTTTCTTTGCCAATGTCTTATTGTGGTAGACGAATTTGTAAACTGTTATCAAATGAGAAACACAGAGCCAAATATAGGGGTGAAAGCTGTAGAGATCAGAGAAATAGCGAAAGGCCACCAACTAACCTCAGCTCACCATGTCGCCGTAGCTTCCCAAGAGAACCAGCTTCTTCCTGTCTAACCTGTGCCTTTATTGCCTTGCTCTTCTGCCTTCTCATTGGCTCTAAGCCCAGCCACCTCTCTTCCTCATCACTGCCTGTCTGTACAGACCTCCAGGTCTCTATGGTTACTATTGGGATTAAAGGCATGTGTCACCACGCTCAGCTGTGTCCTTGAACACACAGAGACTCTGCCCTCTATGTGATTGGGATTAAGGGCGTGTGCCTGACTTCTGTTTATGGCTGGCTATGACCTCTGATCTCCAGGCAAACTTTATTAACATGCAAATAAAATATCACCACGTTTCAGCAAAAATAAAATATCACCACATCTTATTTCCACGATTTCATTTCTAGCTGTCTTATTACCTCCTTATTATCTATGTAGTTTTTCTTAGACCCCCCCCCCCACTTCAAGTTCATATATAACATTAAAGTTCAGCAGCACCCCACATACACTTGCTCTTCCTTTTTCTCTTTTTTCACTTGGGATAATGCTTTCAAGTCCCGTTGGACATCTATTCCAGGGAAAGGAGGGGGATGGTAAGGTATGAGTGGCTTCTGGGGGAAGATGACCCTTTCATGCGGCAATTTATCGTGTGAGAACTGACTGAGGTGTTAGGAGAATATGCAATATCTGCCTGAGGATGGGAGTAAAACACGAAATCTAGTAAAACCACCCCTTGACGTGAAAACAGTTCAGAGTGGAAACACACGTGGATTTTGACGGGGAAGGACTGGAGAGAGATGTTTGAAAAGGTGGGCAGGAAATAAACCATATGAAGCCTTTTTCTGCCAGGCTTAGTAATTTGCGTTTAATTCTATCAGGTCATAGTCCACCAACTGATTATGTTCTGGCTTTCGGGAGTGTTTTGTTAGGTTCATGCTGTGCTTAAAATATGGAACTAAATATCAACATTTAAAAATCAGAAATTTTATTCACTTCTCCTTCTGGCTAAGATCGAGTGTAAAATTAGAAACTTTCACTTAAAAATCAGAACTTTTCCCTACCTCACCCAAATTTATGATCTCATCTTTAGTTTTATTGTTATATTTATGTACATATATATACGCACACGTGTCTACATAACCTAATAAGTCTGAAATTCTCAAAAGGAAGGAAGGAAGGAAGGAAGGAAGGAAGGAAGGAAGGAAGGAAGGAAGGAAGGACAGAAGGAAGAAAGAAAAGCCGGAAAAACTATTAAAAAACAAACAAACAATCAAAACAGAACTTCTGGCCTCTCCTGAAGAGCTGGGAGTTCCGAGTACTTTGCTACATTTTATAGCCTCTGTAGCTATTTCTCCGCAGTGAAGAGCAGGGAGTTCCGAGTACTTTGCTACATTTTCCAGCCTCTGTTGCTGTTTCTCCGCAGCAGTTCCCGGCTGATCTGCTTTATTTCTCTGTCACTTACACCACCTGTTCTGCGGCAGTGGGCTTTGGCAATTGCTATTTTGGTTTCTGGGCACTGGGGAGCCCTTTAAGACCTCTTAGCGGGAGAGTAATATCAGCCAATATCTGCATCAAAAAAGAAGATGATTTTGGAAGAAAAACAGAGGTCAAATTCTGGGAAATAGAGGGGAAAAAAAAGCTCTAAGGAAATGAATATGAAAATTCTGTAGCAACAGTAGACAGTGTTTGGGGAAGGGGAGCAAATTCCTGATGCCATTTCTATCACTGGGTGGATCATAGGAAGCAGGGCTGTAGTTTTACTGGGATGATGGCTGAAGACAGCCTTGGCTAGGTCAAGGACAGTACAGATGGACAGGAGGGGCAAGAAATCAATTAAGCTTAATGGTTGATGGTTGCTGAAACCAGAAAGAGCATGTCATCGTTTCTGAGTGGATGATGGATGGCAGGCTCTGATTTTTTAGAAAGCTTCATTTTTCACACTGCCTGTGAACGGATCACTTCTGTACTTGTATAGATTTGCATCTCCTCGTTCATTAGGTGGACTCGCACACTTGCTAGTAACGAAAACTCACCATTCCTGAGAAAACGCTGAGAACTGAATTAAGTGCAAAGTAAAACGGAAGTTGATGAAGAACTTTGTGCTTGCTAGGAACATGGCTTTTGAAAAATGGGCTTGTGAAACTGCTATGTTGCTTGTTTTAAGAATGCTGTGCTGAGCCTGTATCATGAGGAGAGAGACTCTGACAGAAGGCTCGATTTCAGAAATTTCTCCAGGGTGAATTACCTGATTTTCACTAACTCACACGAATTTTCAAATTATAAAGCTTTCTGTTTACCCTGAGCATTCTCCACATTTTGCTAGTCTTTCCTAATTTTATTTTCCCTATTGTACATACCTTACCTTTAACTCATTTTAACACACACACACACACACACACACACACACACACACACACACACACACACATACACACACACTCTGTAGTTATTCTATATGAGATTTTGCTTTTGTTTTAATTTACTTCCAAGTTAATCCCTTTGAACGTTGTCTTTATTCACCTTACTTTTATTATCGTAAGTAAAATTATGTAGCCATGTCATTCTTTTAATGTCTATTTAGTAACTATTGTATCACTACTAGAGTCTAACAATGTACAAAGTTCTATGTTTCGTTAATACTCAAAAAATGAAAAAAATGCTAGTAGGGTGTATAAATTATATTTACTACACACACATATATATATATATTAAAATATGAATAAATTGAGATTATAAATAAGAATGACTTCAGTTTTCTATAGTAGGAAAACAGGCAAGATATTTATGTCTGGGAAAGTAAATGATTTCTACATTTCCTTTAGCACAGTTAAGCACAAACCTTGGCATGTATAAGGCTCTTTCTTTCTCTTGAGACAAGATCTCTATGTAGACCGGGCTGGCACAGAGTTCAGCCTACCTCTGCCTCCTGAGTATTAAAGGCATCCACCACTATGTCTGGCTCTCTCTCTCTCTCTCTCTCTCTCTCTCTCTCTCTTTACTTATTTTTCTATGTGTGTGTATGTATGTATGTATGTATATCTATGAAAGTATGCCACAAATGTGTTAGGAGGCGGGAGAGGGCATCAGATCCCATGGATCTACAATCACAGGGACTTTTGAGCTACCTGACATGGGTGCTGTGGACTGAATTCCAGTCCTCTGGAAGAGCAGCGTGTGCTCTGAATGGCTAAACTCCCTCGACCCCATTCATCTCTTCATTTTCATGAAAACCACAGCAATGCTCTGATCTTTCAGGAAGAGGACTACTAGTTACCACGCCATCAGAGCAATTGGTTCTGATAGACAGGAAAGTGTGAAAATCTGTGTACTTTTATAGCCATCTTCTTTACTTTTAAACTGGAATACTCTGAGTTGTTTTATCTTCAAACTTCTATCACAGTTCAACGTTACTTCATTTCTAGAGTTGGCCATGGATAGAGTGTTGTTTTCTCATTTGTAAAGATTTCTCACATGCTAAGTTAATGCTGAAGACAAATATTTCCTCTTGCTTGAACAAGAGAAATAAAGGAATAAAATGGATGAAGAATAAACTGTCATTTTTCAGTGAGTTTTCATATTGATCACGATGATAATTATATGGCGGTTTGAATAAGAATGGCCCTCATAGGCTCCTATATTGGAATACTTAAAGAGTGAAATTATTTCAAAGGATTAGGAGTTATGGCCTTGTTGGAGTAGGTGTGACCTTGTTGGAGGAAGTGTATCACTGGGGGGTGGGTTTGGGGTTTCAAATGCTCAAGCCAGGGCCAGTGTCTCTCTGTTCCTGCTGCCTACAGATCAAGATGTAGAACTCTCAACTGTCTCTTCTACACTACCTGCATGCCACCATGCTTCCCAATATGATGATACTGGACTAAACCTCTGAAACTGTAAGCATGCCCCAATTAAATGCTTTCTTTTTATAAAAGGTGCCGTGGTCATGTGTCCCTTCACAGCTATAAAACTTTGACTATGACAGTGGTAAGAACTGCTTAATTTCATAAAACTATAACTAAAAAGACTTAAATGTATTGTGACTAAAGTGCGCTTCATTACCAAATGAGACAAGGACAGACTACTTAATGTTCTAAGATGTCGATGTACCCAGGAAACGTGTCACATTCATATTCAAATGATGCTTTTCCTGTTGCAATATTAAACATTTTATTTTATTTTATTTTATTTTATTTTATTTTATTTTATTTTTTTGGTTTTTCGAGGCAGGGTTTCTCTGTAGCTTTGCGCTTTTCCTGGAACTCACTTGGTAGCCCAGGCTGGCCTCGAACTCACAGAGATCTGCCTGCCTCTGCCTCCCGAGTGCTGGGATTAAAGGCGTGCGCCACCACCGCCCGGCAATATTAAACATTTTATAATAAATAATAATCCTCAATAAAACCTAGTTTTGCTTATCTCTTTTTCAAAATTTTTTTTCCCAAGACTTTTTTTTTTTTATTTTGCAATACAATTCAGTTCTACATATCAGCCACGGATTCCCTTGTTCTCCCCCCCTCCCGTCCCCCTCACCTTCCCCCCAACCCCCTCCCCCCATTCCCATCTCCTCCAGGGCAAAGCCTTCCCCACAGACTAGAACGGTAGTTAATTCTGATTGTCAACATGACTGGATTAAGAAATATGGAAGAGTTCTTTTCTGTGGTGCCTCCTAGTCAGCTGGCTGGTTAAGATGAAGCTGATATGTCCTTCCCAGCCACTGGCTGTCAGAAACTCATGAAGTAGATAGTGAATGCAAACTTCAGACTTTTTGTGAGAAGCTCATGGCCACAGACATTGCTGCTGAAGCTCCGGTTGAAGAATGGAAGGGTTATGTGGTCCAAGGTGTGATGAGAATGGCAAACAAGGTATTCCTATGAAGCAAGGTCTTCACCCATGCCAGAGTGCCCTTGCTATTGAGTAAGAGGCATTCCCCTCACAGACCAAGGAGAGCTGGAGACAGGAAATAAAAATCTGTTTGGGGTGCATTGTGGGTGCCAATCTGAGTGTTCTCGATCTGGTTATTTTTGATATATATATATATATATATATATGATGTTCCTGAACTGACAGATACTACTATGCCTCAGCAGTTGGGATCCAGAAGAGCTAACAGAGAAAGCAAACCTCAGTCTCTCTAAAGGAGATGATGTCCATCAATATGCTGTCAGAAAGCCCTTAAACCAAGAAAGGAAGAAGCCCAGGACCAACATACCCAAGACTACCTCACTCTAGGGCTAGAAACACAGGGCCAAGTGACCATGGACTGAAGTCTCCACGCTGCACCCTAGTTGTTGTGATGTGAGCTGTCCTGTTCCATCACACCCTTCTTGTCATGGTGTGATGAACCCTCTGAAATGATGAGTTAAAATAAATAAGTCTTCCCATTGAATTGTTTTCAGGCTTTTTTGTTTTTTTGTTTTTTTGGACACAGTGACACAAAAGTAACTCACAAGTGAAGGTGTAGATGACCACCAGCCTCCTCAATGATCCCTCATATGATTCTTGACTCCTAATGTTGACATCGTTGTAGATCACTCATGCCCTTGAAAAAGCCTGATCTACATAACCAATAGAAAATCAAGGATATACAGAGTCATTTCCTAGCCTAGGCCACAAAAGCAGTACGATTTCTGTTCTGCTCTTTCAGGATTACATATTTGCTCTAGGGTAGTGGTCCTCAACCTCCCTAATGCTGCGACCTTTTAATACAGTTCCTCATGTTGTGGTGACCCACCCAACTATAAAATTATTTATTTCGCTACTTCATAACTGTGATTTTGTAGGAGCGGTGTCTCAGTTGCTAAGGTCATTGGAAATTTGTGTTTCCAATTGTCATGACCCACAGGCTGATAACCGCCACAGTCCTATGAAGATGTCCGTGTAGCAAGGGACTGCTTGCTGAACACAAGACGACACTGTCTTAAGAAGATCTTCCAGCCCAAGAAAAACCGTTACATGACTATGTGTTGATTGTGACCAATCAGACCTAGAGCTGGAGTCATCTATCTAGTTTGTTCTGAAAGTTCTGACCTGTAGACACCTTGGAATAAGAAACGTTTAGCACTGCTTTCAGCTGCTAATTGTTGGAGGGAGTAATTTATTATGTAACACTATGCTAATATTTATGCTAATATTATCCAGACTCAAATATTGTAGATCACACTCCATTTACAGAATTTTAAGGCAGAATTGTAAGCTCAGTGATGTGAGCATATGCAATATGTAGAATCATATGCAGTATACTCCCTGGTACACAGAAAGCGGTCAATTGGTGTGATGACTTGGGAATATTAAAAAAAATAAGAATCTGTTTATTTGTAGAGCCAAGTCCTAATCAAAAGAGCTGGAGGAAAACAATTATAAAAATAGATAAAAAAAAAAAACTCACAGAAATCATATCAAGAAGTTTATATCCTCCCTCTCAGGGAAATTAGAAACTTGTAAGATAGTATGTTAACTTTCTATTATTATAGCAAAAGTATCTTGAGACAACCAACTATGAAGTTGAAAAGCTTATATTGGCTTACATTTTAAAGGCGTCAGTTTATGACCCACTGGTCCTATTGCTTTGACTCTGGGGCAAGGCAATAGAGCATGGCATGAAGTATGTCGTAAAGTAAGCTGCTCATCTCACCGTGGCCGGGAGCATGGAAAGGAAGGAGGAGGCGGGTGCTATGGGCTATGGATGAAAGGGCTATGGGACCGTACTCCTCAAGCACACACTCAGTGACCAGATTCTCCACGATCGCTCACCTCTTATGGATTACACTACTTCCCAACAACCCCAAGGTGGGAACTAAGATTTCGACACTCGTGCCTTTGAGGAACATCCCATGTTCAATTCATGGCGTAAGTTATATCTTCCCTATATCTTCTCTTCCTTTTTGTCTCTATGTTGCCACATCCATCTTTTTGCTTTTGTTTCTCTCCTTCCTTCCCCCTGTAGCCTTTTGGTCCCCTTCTCTTTCTGTATTGATTTTCCCCGACCCTAACTTGAGTGACTTTGCTGGGTCAGGCCCTCCCTACCATGGTGGAGCAAACAAGATTGCAAGCCGCATTACATCTTCCTCCCTTCAAGTTGTTTCTGTCCGATATTTTGTCATAGCGACAAGGAAAGTAGCAAACACCCAGGCATCTATTTTAACTGTACTCTTAAGTGACCTTGAAAGTTCAGTTCCACTGTGTTTGATTATAGTAGGTTTACAAACTGGCATTTCATAGCCGAGTTTGGCTCGCAAATGTATCCTGCTTGATTTAATCTATGCTTCTCCAAATGTCAAGTGTCTCTCATAAATTTGAAACACGAGAATCACAGATTACATCAAGCAAAATATTCTTATGCCCTTTAGTGGTAATTTTTCATACTGTAGATTAGTCTCATAGTGGATATTCATTATAGTACATTTGAAGAAAATATAAGATCTTATTCAGATATTTAAGAACAAAGGAACACATTTTATAAATATTTTAGTAAAATGTATTTACAAAATAATATTTAGGGGCTGGAGAGATGGCTCAGTGGTTAAGAGCATCGGGTGCTCAGCCAGAGAAGCTGGGTTAAGTTTCCAGTGCCACATTAGGCAGCTAGCAACTGCCTGCAACTCCTACTTCCAGGGGATCCTGTAGTGGGTAGCCGTTCTAGCTTTGATCTGGAAGTACCACCCTCATTGAGGCTTTGGTAACTGTTATGCCTACAAGGCGGAGCTGAGAGAGGAGCCCTGAAGATCCGAGATCTGGATGGGCTGGCTCTCTTGGTTCCTGGGCCCTGGATGCTGGAGGTAGACCAAGCAGAGTTCTCAAGAGAACACTGCCATACTGCACTACACCTTCCCCAGACCCTGTAACCTATCCCTTCACTTGTAAGTTACCCCGCAAAATAAACCTCCCTTTTAACTACGTGGAGGTGCCTTAATTTTTTAACCAATAGGATCCGACCCCTTCTTCTGACCTCTACTGGCACTTGCACACACATGGTGCACATACTTAGGTGCACATACACACACACACACACACACACACACACACACACACACACACACACACATTAAATAACAAATCCTAAAATAACATTTAAATGTGAGCTCTAAACAGTTCAAGGATTTAGATATGAGGAATGTCGCACTGATGATTTTTAGTAAAAAATTTAAAGGCTGATGCCTTTACAATTAGTGTTTCAAGCCATGTTAAACACATAGAAGTCTGCACCAATGTCAATCTAGACACAATCACGGAACCCGTGCAACAAGTACCAAAAGACAGACTTCTTTACCTCCATGATCGTCACATTCTTTACCAGTTAATAGTACTAGAGCCTGGTATTTTTGTTGTCCTAGTTCATTTCAGGCGGATTCGATTCCCTTTATCCTCCTACGTAGTGAAGCATCATCTTCCTCATAGTTCCCATGCTGGGCAGGTGCTGATGATTAATTGAATTTGCTCTGGGAGCCTGTCAAAAAGCTCTTTGCATGTGTAGACATGTACACTCCAAAAATTCCCTGAGCAAGGACCAGAAATCAACCCCATCCCCCAGATACCTACCACTGTCATTACTGATAGCTTTTGTTTTCTGATTATAAATTGATATCATTGAAAAACTGTAAGGAAATAATAATTACAGAAGAAACGATGTCTCTTGTAGTTATGTTCCTCAGATCTGCTGACATTGTGGTATTCAAATTGTTTATAACGTACCCATGAATACATACATACACATACGATTTTAAAATTCTCACCTTTTCAATATAATTGACAAAATGAACTTGTCTAGAGTTAATTTCATAACTTGACTCTTCAGCATATGCATACATTGTGAGCTTATGTATTCACTGTGTGTGAGCTTAACATGTTCACCAAACTCACATAGAAACCTCTTAATAAATTTTGGATGTAGAATGAAGTATTGTTAACTGGGACCTCCATGTTGTACTTTGGATCTCTAAAAGTTACTACTCATCGTATACACTTTACTCTGGATTATCAATTTCCCCTTTGATTCTCCCTCTCTCCTTCTGACAGCCACCATCCTATTTTGTGCCTCTGTAACTGCAGCTATTTTACAGACCACACACAAATGAACTCATATAGTACTGCTCTTTCTGTGTCAACTTACTTCATTTAGCATCTGGTCCTTCATTATGAAGGCAGGATTCCCTTCTTTACTGAGTCTAAATAACACGTCATCCAGCATGCACACATCACATTTCTTCATCCATTTACTTTGTTCTTGGGCATTTTGGTGTCCACACATTTTGCCTTTGTGAATAATGATAGAAGGAGTGTGGGGATACTTACTGTATTTCCTTTGGATATATACCCAGATGTGGAATTTTTGGACCCTATGGTAGCTCTATTTTTAATTTTTTTTGAAGAAGGTTCATACTTCTTTCTTTAATGACTGCCCCAGATCTTTGTGAGTTTGAGGCCAGCCTGGGCTACAGAGTGAGTTCCAGGAAAGGCGCAAAGCTACACAGAGAAACCCTGTCTCGGAAAAACCAAAATAAATAAATAAAGAAATAAAATAATGACTGCCCCAAATTTATATTCCCACAAACTATATGCAAGTCTTTCCTTTTCTCCAACATTTTATATTTTATCTTTTTTTGTTCCAGGCATGCCAATAAATGTACAGTAACATTATGGTTTGATTTGCATTTCCCTGATGATTAGTGATTTTTTTTTTTAGCACCTGCCCATATATTTGTTGACGATTTGAATATCATTTTTGGAGTAATGCAAAACTGTCTTTAAAAATCTGGATTATTTAAATTTTTTGAAGTTGGATTTCTTATATATTTTAAAACTTAATCCCATAGGTATCCAGCTTGGTTTTTATTTGTTTGTTTTTTGAGACAGGGTTCTCTAGGTAGCCCTCCCTGGTTGTCCTGGAACTTGCTCTGTAGACTAGGGTGGCCTTGAACTCAGAGACCCACCTGCCTCTGCCCCTCTACTGCTGGGATTAAAGGCATGTGTCACCATGCCTGGCTAAGGTATCCAATTTGTAAATATTGTAAGTATTGGGGAATTGAACCCATGCCTTAAGCATGGAATGCAAGTACTCTACCATTGAACTTTATCTCAGCAACCCCCCCCCCCTTTTTTTTTTTCAGAGTCTGGCTCTAGAGTTTAGGTTATCCTTGAATTTGTTATGTAACCCAGGCTTGCTCAGTAACGGCACCATCCTAGGCAGTTGAGTGACTGAATAATTTAGTTGAATTTCAGAGAAAGGCTTTTGGTGAATTTATAGTCAGACAAATTCATGAGTTTTTTTTTGTTTTTTTTGAGTTTTTTAATGTAAATTAGTCGACATAACAAAGTTGATACAGTGGTTTAGAGAAGGCACAGAGTTTGGTATTCGATACATGGGGATAGAGTTTCGCTGTTTTCGCTGCT